TTCCTCGTGAAATTCTACATCTAGTAGATCATGAACCAACCAAAATTAACGAGGGCCCAAAACTGACCCTTATACGCCCCCATCCTTTCTCTAGGAAGGCAGAAGCTCAATGAATCCCAAGCTAAAACTAAATCATATTATCGTCTGATGAATTATTTAGCTATTGTGTCCAGATATAAAAACCGTTTTCTAATTCTTGATTTGACAGTTTTTTCATCTATTTGTGTCTGACATTCCTTACACAAACCTATTAGACCCCTACCGTTAGTGTTTATTAAATAAATCTTGAGACTTCGAAGCGACACTTCATCCAGTCTTTTGTCCTAAAAGGAGTAAAGACGGATGATGTTTATTTTCTTGCTTGTCAAACATTCTTAGCTTCACTTGAATTTCTTGAGATAAGTACAAGTTAAGATCGTGAAACGAATTCTTTGTTGTTTTGTGAAATTATCAATCACTCTGTAGTAACTTTACTCCATGTTTTCCATAATCGCTTCTTTATTTTCTTTCTTCTTTTCTCACCTCGTTTTATTTCTTCCTATAATGCAAGTATGCTCTCCAATTATATTCCATCGAATCTCAAAATAATTCTTGTGCTCACTGTAAATTTCTTGTATTCTTTCCAATCTATATTCTATTATTAGTAGGTACCATTGCTAATATTCATAATATCGATGTTAATCCAAAATGGATACAAGAAGGCATCACCGTGGCTGGAGGTAATGGATTCGGCAATGCGTTGAACCAACTATGGGATCCGAACGGTCTGTGTATTGATGACAATAATCAAGTTATTTATACTGCCGACAGCGACAACCATCGTATTATGGAATGGAAGTTTGATGCGACCAGCGGTACAGTCGTTGCGGGTGGGAATAAACGAGGAAATCAACGCAATCAATTGAGCTTTCCAAGAAATGTAATTATTGATCAACAAAGTGATAGTCTAATTATATGTGATTGGGGAAACAAACGAGTGGTAAGATGGTCTTGTCGATGTGGTACAAACGGAGAAACGATAATTTCAAACATTGAATCTTGTGGTGGTTTGGCTATAGACAATAATGGATCTATCTACATCTCTGATTTTAATAAAGGTGAAGTCCGACGATATGAAATAGGAGAGACTTATGGCACAGTAGTTGCAGGTGGTAACGGAGAAGGCAATCAGCTCAATCAACTCAACGGTCCTACCTACATATTTGTTGATCAGAATCATGCAGTCTATGTATCGGACAAGGATAACCATCGTATAATGAAATGGGACAAAGGGGCAACTGAAGGTGCTCTTGTCGCTGGTGGCCATGGTAAAGGTGATGATCTTACACAATTAAAATATCCTTATGGAGTATTTGTTGATCGTTTGGGTACTCTCTACGTAGCTGATTCCTGGAATAATCGAATAATGCGTTGGCCTAAAGGTTCTACACGAGGTGAAATCATTGTTGGTGGCAATGGTATTGGAGAACAAGCAAACCAACTGAATTATCCTATCAGCTTATCATTTGATCGACAAAGCAATATGTATGTTGTCGACCAAGCAAATCATCGTATACAAAAATTCCAGATCGATATGTCAAGTTCATCTTGATGAATTAGTAGCCTTTTCTATTGAAACCAGATTCAAGAGTGAAAAGAACCATCATTACTTCTGTTATATTGTTAACAGTCAGAAAAACAACGATAAATACCTTCGTTACAATACAGTGATGATTTTTTCATATTTAAATAAACAAAGATAAAGCTTCCAGATTTTAAGGCCATTTATAGACCCCAACCGCTCTATATATGAGGTGTGAGTGAGCAACGCAAACATCCGCTCCCACACCCACCCTCCACACCTTCCTAAACGGCCACACCATGCGTAATTAGGCCATTAAAACAAAATGACTACTCTACCTCCGATATCCATATATCCAACATGAGGATGACGATTATGTATCGCGAGTTAAATATTTTCCGAAAGCAAGACTACCACTAAAATCCACCAAACCACATACCAATCGATAAGTCAATATAGAAAAACTCCTGACATATAATCCAACCCCAAACAACGCAATCCCACTTCTAAACATAATACAAAAAACTGCTGCCTAAAAAATGAATCCTTTATCACGTTTCATATTACCTTAAATCAAACTAAACAAAATCACATATAATCGAACCAACCCATAAATATTACCAAACTTAATATCCCGCAAAAAAAAACAGACAACGTCATGTCAGCATCAATAACCATAAAATATATATCCCTTTCAGCATACACCACCGAAGAAACTCCTGCGCACACCATAGCTCCGACCGAATCGACAACAGCGCCCATTCAACCAACACCAGTTGCAACTCAAGCGGACACTCAAGCAACTCTTCCCAACACATTTGCAACACAAAGTATCACCGTAACAACTCAACCAACATCAGCTGCAACTGAAGGAGTGACTGAAGGAACTGTCGCCGAAACCGTTGCTACTGAAGGAACTCAACCAACATCCGCTGCAACCGAAGGAGTCACTGAAGGAACTGTGGCCAAGACTGTTGCTACTGAAGGAACTCAACCAACATCAGCTGCAACCGAAGGAGTGACTGAAGGAACTGTCGCCGAAACCGTTGCTACTGAAGGAACTCAACCAACATCACCTGCAACCGAAGGGGTCACTGAAGGAACTGTCGCCAAGACTGTTGCTACTGAAGGAACTCAACCAACATCCGCTGCAACCGAAGGAGTCACTGAAGGAACTGTGGCCAAGACTGTTGCTACTGAAGGAACTCAACCAACATCAGCTGCAACCGAAGGAGTCACTGAAGGAACTGTGGCCAAGACTGTTGCTACTGAAGGAACTCAACCAACATCCGCTGCAACCGAAGGAGTTACTGAAGGAACTGTGGCCAAGACTGTTGCTACTGAAGGAACTCAACCAACATCCGCTGCAACCGAAGGAGTCACTGAAGGAACTGTGGCCAAGACTGTTGCTACTGAAGGAACTCAACCAACATCACCTGCAACCGAAGGGGTCACTGAAGGAACTGTCGCAAAGACTGTTGCTACTGAAGGAACTCAACCAACATCAGCTGCAACCGAAGGAGTGACTGAAGGAACTGTGGCCAAGACTGTTGCTACTGAAGGAACTCAAC